AGACTCAGACTTCCCAAAGCAAGTTAGGAGTATATTCACGAATTGCTTTGGCACGCAGCTCAAAAAGAAAGAGAGATATATATGCTACACAATCCAAAGTCAAACTAAAAGCCACACAGGCCGTGAGACCTAAGTAAAGCATAAGCTGCTTAAAATCTGATCAGAGAGGAATTTATAACTCTTTCCAACAAAACTGAGAGCTGATTTTCAAGAGACTGAGAGAAGTGAAATAAGTACAAGAGTTACAGCAGAATGTGGTGCCTTATCGAGCAAAATACTAAAGCATATTAGGAGGACAATTTTCTTGATCAGAAAACCATATTGAGACACATTAACATAACTAGAGACTCGTATGGAGAAAAGGTAAGCAAAAGGTTTTCTAAAAACAAAAGAAAAAAGAACAAAGCAGACATCATTTATGTTTATACTGAACCACCATGGGAAAGAACATGTTACACCAGGACAACAATCAGGAAAAAATTGATGATAGTTCTTAGTGCACGTACTGTGGTATTGAGAAACTATAGGCTAATATTGGCAAGGTTTTATACCTTTCCTAAAATAGGAGACAGTCCCATAATATCTGAAGCCAAAGCAAAACGAACTTCCTGGGATTGATCTAATGATAGTTACAGATACAAATTTTAAAGATCCTTTGAATGAGTAATAGAAAGTCCACAGAAAAGAATAATGAGAAAGCATACAAACTGAAAAGACCAAGAGATAGAGCATGATAATATAGCAAAAGACGAAACAAGCACCATAAGATTTAAACCTTGACACAAGGCAAGATATGCTGGACTGGAAGCTCAGGGCTCAATATCTGGAAAAACTTGGTGACTTTACCAGCTGCAGCTCTGCGGACGTCAGTTTCATTATCACGAAGTAGACGAACATATGCAGGGACCATCTCCGTCCTTCCAAATTTCACAACTCTCATAAGTTAGTTTTGGACAGAGGACACTTGACTAAAAGTTAAAACAAAAAGAGAGAGAACTAAAAAGTATAAAAGGAAAAGATTGGAGAAATGATCTTAACAGCATTTCAGTTCACAAATAACCAAATACCTGGTAGCATCTGGTCCAACTGTCTCACATAGTTCACAAAGTTGATCTGCAACCGTGTAACGAACTTGCCAAGAATCATCCTGTTAATGCAGATAAGCAGGTAATTTAAATAAGTTCTGGCCGCCAGTATCCAAGTGTAAACTGATAGAGCAAATTAGTGTTTGATCAAGGGAAAACACCATATCCATTTATATGCAAAGTTAATAAAATATAGTACATACATATAACAACAAGTCAATAAAAAAGTCATGTTGCAGATGTTTAGTTTAATTGAACCTGTGATAAACTAATTATGACAGGGAGAATCTCTGCTAGACAAACTTGTTGCACCAATAGCTTCCCTAAAACTGCACAATTCTTGACAGCCAATAGACGGACAGAATCTTGATCTGAATAGAACAAACACCCAATTTAGTCACAATGATTTTAAATAGAATAAACCAAATCTAGATCAACACTGAGATAGTGCCAACTATTGACTACTAGCAGACTTTCCGATATGAGAGCAAATCTAAAATAGAACAACTAAGGCTTGTCATCAGCACATAAAAATTGATCAGACTTTTTGGTACTTCTTTCCAGAATTATTTGAAGCTACCTTGAAGATCACTCCTCTTTCTGAACGAAAATTTGCACTCCCAAACTTGCATCAATATGCTCTTTATGCTTGTTTGACCTAGAATAGGGTGAGGATGAAGAGATAAATTGTATGCCTTGACTAAATTACATGCAATTTACTCTTTAGTTAACTTAGAAAGAGGGTTACAGCAACATCCTAATCGTAAATGTTCTTTCCTTAAACCTTCATTCATTTTATCTTGTCCTCCAACCTTACAAGTCAATTGAAAATTGATTGATGTAGGCCAACTGCTAGTACCAATTTTCTGATCTAAGGAGAGCCAATATGAAATATGCCTTATTAAGAATTCTCTCAATCAAATTGAAATACACTGTATAATTACTCGTGGTATAAAAGAATCAAAGCCAAGCAGAACCAAAAAGAATCCGCGACCAATAATAATTTTTTATCCAAATAAAAACTACTTTCAGAAAGCAAATAGAATTTGTTAAAAAGAGTAAACCATACCATCCTGAGTCAGATGCTTGAACATTGGCATGATGTAATTCATCAGGTAGGGTTGCTCAACAGTCTCAGCAAACTTTCCAAGATTTTTTGCAGCTGCTTTCCTTACCAAAGGTGTTTCATTGTGGCAAAGTTGGTTGTATAGAGTTCTTAGTTCCTCTCTTAAAGGCTCTGGGGCATTTGGGTAAGCAATGTGAAATAATCCGCATGAAGAACTTTGAGCAGTCCACTCCTTATCAGCCAGTTTCTGATTAGGCAAAACCAGGAAAAGAAGGATCACACATTGAAGATCACCACACTAAGTTACAAACTAATTAATAGATTAAAGGATGAACAAAGAAACTGCTAGCATAATAAAAAGAAGTAACCTAAGAAGAATTAGCTTAAGGAGAACTTCAATCCACATACATAGTTAATTTCAAATTCTTTATTTCTACCCCATCAACTTATGATACCAACTAATGGACATCTTCTCAGACATTCAAATGATCGATTAGGCACTTTTTTGTAGATAAGGTCACAATATATGTCGCACTAACTTAGCTTAATAGGTTGCGTTAACTCCATTGAATCAGAACCTATTATCCTTGAAATCATATTAGCTTTCAATCTAATGCATCTTTTCAGTAATTTCAAAGCGGAAATAACAAACCAAAAATAAGAAATAACAAGTCAGCGGCAGTTTGATATGCTAAACCTATATGAGATAATGAGAAGCCATTCTTAAAGATTTATGAGAAGTATATTGTTGTTGCAATGAAACATTGTCAAGTGTACTAACCTTCAGCAGTGGAATAAACGATTCGATCAAGTCTGGTTCCCTCATTTGAGATCCTATTTTGCACAATGACTCAACTGCTTTGTCCCTATCACAAGTCTCTCCAACCCTACAGAGACCTTCCAACGGCGGAAGTAAGACAGTAGCATATTCAACTCCTCCCACATATGGAATAAACACTCCCAACTGTTGAGCCATTTTAAGAAGAACTTCCTCATCATACTCGTCATCAAAATTCTCTCTGATATATTGAATGAACTCTGTCCGAGTTCTCTCCACACCAAGCGCACGTGCAATAGTAGACAGTTGTCGCATGGAATTCAATCTAAGATCGCTGTCTTCATTCATCAATTCATCGATTAAAACAGCAGCGAGAGACGCAGATTCGTTGCTCATAGACATGGTTGCTGCAGTGCCTCTGTGAATATCTCTCTCTGTATATATTCAGGAAAACTCAAATTATTTAAATCATACAAAAATAATCATCCTTTAAAAGAGCAACAAAAAGGATTTTATTCAAGAATGTTTTACCAGAAAGCAATTAATTAACCATTTCTGTAACTAACAGCCGAATGAAGGGAAAAGGGCAAAGGTGGGGTGGATTATGGCACTATTTTATACAAGAAAAAAAAGAGTAGAAAAACTATTTATTTCCCAGTTCATTTTATTAACTTTGATTTATCCACAAGATATTCATATCAAGTTCTTGATTATCTTGACGAAAAGAATTAAAGAACCCTCCTCTGTTACATAAAAGAATTCTTAGCTGCGGCCATATATAACAGATCTTTTGAAGTTGAAAAGTTTAAAGACATACGTAGGGGCCATCAATTACATAAAACTTACTAAATTTGAAGAAGATCACTAACTAAACTACATATTTAAGAAGCAATCATTTTCTCGGAAGCAATTAATGAAAACTGATTCTAATTAATGAATGAAGTTCAAGAACAAAATGCCAAATTATAACCTGGAACTTTTTGAAGATATCCAAGTGATTCAGATGAATGAAATTGACGAAAATGCATGAAAGTGAAAAATAAAGGATTCAGAAAACCCAAAAAATAATAGTAGAGCGAGAGATTGATACCTGTAAAACTATAAAACTTTGGAATGAAAGGAAGTGGTGGAAGTTGATCGGTGATCTCTGCTTATTTTGTTTTGGGATTTGTATCAGCTTTTTCAACTTTATATAATTTTGTTTCTCTGTGATTCTCCCGCCTTTAAACGATAGTTAGGTATAACCGTTTATTGTTTGAGTTCGTTCTTTTTCCCGGGGCGGTAGTGTAAGCCACGCGCACGTGATCAATCTAATTTTAAACTTTTTTATGCGAACAGATTAAATAATAACAATAGTTCTTTAACTTTTAAAAATTTAAGTATAATAGAAAACCTCTGATCTTTTTAACTTTTTAAAATTTATGTATAACCCCCAAAACTATACCTTTTGCTTTATTTAAACAACATTCTCGGGGCGAGGGGTTTGGCATTTTTCTTTATGTAAACCACCTTCTCGGGGCGAGGCGTTTAACAATTCGCAAGGATCCTGTATATTAATATCCAAAAATGAAGATATAGAGGAGGGAAGATATACTTAGTTGCGAAAGCTACGATTTGAACGTTATGAATTCAAGTCTCAGAATTCTACTATAGCCCTTCTATTGAGTTCGAATCTATTATTTGTGCTTATGTTAGTTGTATTTTTTTAACGCATATAATAGAGTTTGAACTAAGTTATTGGGTTAGGAATCTATTATTTGTGCTTATGTTAGTGTATTTTTTAACACATATAATAGAGTTTGAACCAAGCTATTGAGTTCAGGTGATACTTCACTTCATTAAATATAGTTAGGGTGCCATACACTAAACAATAACTTAGTTTAGTGTCCCAAGTATGCCAGTAACGTGCCTCATTACAAAATATTACAAATAAGACGGGAATATAATATTCACTTGTAGAATTCACCTTGGAATGTACGGAATACCGTTAAAACATAAGGTACAAATTATTGTAAGCAAGCAGATAAATACCAATAAACGTTCACAACCCCAGGTGAGCTGGAAGAAAAAATTTGGAAAAGCACCTCAATAGCTACATCATAAACTAAAATAATATACTTTTGCAGTGTATTTCAATATACATTTGTGCTGCCTACATTAACCGTTAGACCGTAAACCATTAGAACTCAGTATACTTGGCCAAAATTCTATGTCAATATATTTATAGCTAATGAAAACTAACATGCAGGAATAAGGACTTCTCTAAGCAAAACCCCAAAAAAGAGTTGTTGGTCATTGATCTGTCAACAATATTTGACCAACTATCATCGCGTACGTCAATGGTCATCCACAAGAAGGTTAAGACAGACTTCTCATCAGAAGTTCGAGAGTTTCAAAATCAGGATATAGTATGTGTTGCCTTTTCAGAGCCGATTCGAGTTCCCAGTTGTGGAAACTGCTACAAGATCTCCTCATGTAATAGTTTCAATGCTCTTCTGTCTTTGCATGGACAAGAAGGATTTGATTTCTAAACTAGTAAATCGCTCTCTCTTTTCGAGAACTTCATATATCCTCTCAACCTGGACCACAAGCCAACTCTCCCCGATGCTTCAGACAAATCCACCGGTTCCTTAAAGTTTGCTTTCTCACTTAATTCTTCGAATGAGTCTACTACGTTTTGAAGTCTTGCAACAAATTCTATGAGAAGGGAGGTGAACGTTGCTAAAGACAAAGCACTGGCACTTTCATACGTCTTTGATTCTTCTTCTTCTTTCTCCTCCTCCTCCACCTCCTTAAGTACATCATTAGCTTTAGGCAGTGTGTGTGCCGTCCGCATTTTTGGTTTCTCCACCCCATTTTCTGGGGTCACTCCTGCAGTTTGGTTGTTATTATTAGCCACATTAAAAGTCCTATTATCCCAACTCCTTGAGATATTGATGGAGTCAATGTCGATTACTGTTTCACTCTGAGATCTGTGATGTTGAAAAGAATTTCTGTCATCATCCATGCTTCCAAGCTCCTGTGGAATATCCACCACTATGGGTCGTGATCCGATTTCCCAGTTCTCTGCATTGACGAAAAGATAAGACTTCCGATCCACCTTTCTTTGCAACTCTTCTGCTGCTTCATGCACTTCATAGAGAATGTCTACTGACCCCAACTTCTCCATCTTTTTCACTTTTTCCCCAAGTTCTCTCAACACTTTGGCACCTGCTGTACCTACTCTCTGAAGCTCATTACGGAAAACCTGTCTTCTTTCAGCAGGAGCCTGCATATTAGAAATGTTTGGTAGTCATTTCAGCGATAAAAAGGTCAATGCATTACCAAATAAAGTGGTATAACTGAGACATCTGGGCATGCAAGCTCTTAAACTGAACTATATTCACCAATAAATAATGCATATCTAGCAGCAACTTAATTTTATTACTACGAGGATGATTTACAAGGAGAGAATACACGACAGGCTTCAGGCCTCCAGGGCCTAGCTCAAGTGGCAAAGGGTGGTGGATTTGTGTCTTAGGACACAGGTTCAAGCCCCCATACCATGCAAAGCAAAGCCTGGTATTTAAGTGGAGAAGGGTAGAGGGGCGGGCCCATTATCCACCGAGTTTCGAAGGCTGCGGTTGGTCCAAAGGATCGGCCCCAGCCGGATTTCTCGGTCATCAAAAAAAAAAAAAAAATACACGACAGGCTTCAGGCAACAGTAATACTTCAGAACATGTTCTGTCAGCCTCACTTTGCTCACTCATGCTGAAAGCACACGAAAATATTCCAACGTTTATTTCTTCTATCTTCAAACATCTCCTCGCACAGTTTAGTTAAAGGGAGAGTAAGTAAGGAAGGGGGTCCAGAGTCATTTTAGGAAAGTTCTCCGGAAGAGATTTGCACTGGCTAGGAGAATAAGTAATTGAGCAATAAAACAGGAACATGTTTGATGAATAAGGTTAGAGAATACTATGTGATGCACTTTACAAGCAAAGGGCTAGCAGGAAAGTTGGAAAAAGGAGTAGAATGATTACCTGTATTTCAGATAGTACACAGCCATGCAGTGCCATAACCATGAATGCACAATACCTTAATGCACCGCTAACTTTGACATAGTTTTTCCAAGGATATTTAATCATCTTATAAGGACCATGGGGTGGCTCCCAGATTGCAAATGCTACCTGTGGTATCAGAGTTAATTTAGGACATCCGCCTAGCAAAATTTCATAGAATTACTAATTCATGCTGCAAAAATGCTTAAGCATACCAGAGCTTCCTCTTGGCTAGTAGATTCTACTGCTGATCTGTAGCCATTGTAAACTGGATCATCATCAGCTTGGTAAGTAAGAATTTTTGAAGGGATCCTCTTATATTCGACACAGTTCAGATATTTACTGATACAACCTGCAACAATTTCCATTTCATCAAAAAGAGATAAAGGAAGTGGAGGGTTGAGGATCCTTTGAAACAATTTAATTCTAACATCCCATCTCGAGAACAGTAACGAGCATCTCAGACTCAGAGGTTGCATTACCTTCCAGTGAAGTAGCTACACTGATGAAATTCTTCGCCACTAGATTGTGAAGATCCTCACCAGCCCAGATGGGATAGACACATATGTTAACAGCTAAAGAAACACCAGCACCAAGTGCAATTAGCAGAAATCGACTTACAGCTGTATGAACAAATTCTCTAGTGTGATAACCAGATACCATGATGAAACAATACGTTATCAAGAATACTCGGAAACCATATTCATAGGGCTTCATTGGAGGGTACTGTTTTGCATAAGTAATAAAAAAACCTAGAAAACGGCAAACAAGCTGCAGTCAGCAAGGTACAAAGATAAAAAAGAGATGAACATCAGTTCATACATATTAGTCAAGAGTACTGACCGTAAAACCAGACCTGTTATGAATATACCAATGACTATAACAACTTCTTCCCAGTCTCCGGCCAACTGAGACAATTCAGCCATTCCAAGAGCAAGACCTCCAGCTGACAGTGTCCCGAGTCCACGATTAAATCCTTTGCTCAGAGTGGCTCCTGTGGACAGTTCATATGTGAATATGTATAAAAAGCTCCCCGTACAAAGCTATACAGAAAACAAAGAGAGCAGTAACCAGGGGTTGAAAGGCACAAAATGCAAACAGAAAATACTAACTATACTATGGGCAGATATTTGTGCCTAATGGGGTATCATGGTATCTAACGAGATTTCTTAGCTAAAACGCCTCCTGCTTGCAGTAATAGTAACCGCCAATGGAATACATTGCAAACACTAGAAAGAATAAAATAAAACACATAAAAACAACGGATTTACATTGGCAACAGGTTGTCCCATGCTTGTAAAACCATATATATACATAATTGGAAACATAAACAAGGAAGTTTTCTTTTGTTGAAGTGGTATATCTGCGCACTTGGAGAAAGAAAGACTGAATAACGACTGCCTAATACAAAACTGTGGTTAGCTAAACCCTCTTTTAGGGCCTCTTAGGTCAACCTCCTTGCATGAATCTTGTACAAATTACCACCTCCTCGATTATTCGTTTTATATTGAAATCATGATTAGTCCTTAGTAACCAAATAATAGAATAACCCAGTCATGCTTCCTTTATTAGTCATATCATTTGGATTATTTTATTTTCTTCATAAAATCTAGTAGTAACTTTTCTTGACAAGTAAATCGATCTAGTATATATGAATCATCCTGAGCATTACATATATATATCTCCAGAGGAGGATCCCCTCCCCGTCCGCACTCCTCACCTCCCTTCCCTACTCAGTTTTTCATAAGATAAGATTGTATTGGAAGAATATTAAAAAAAATTAATAGGAACATAGCTTATGTAAAAGGTCAAGCAAGTTGAGACGTTTCACAAAAAAAAATCATTATCGTCAATCTTTAATCCCAAAATAAAAATCAAATCAAAAGTTTGGCCCTACTTCTATCTTAGAAGGACATAAATAAAGTATCTATATTTTTATTCAAAAAAAAGACTTCTTCAGACTTCAGAGCTTTTAACAGCTTTTTTTCTTTACAGTTACAATTAGCAAACACAATCTTCTGTCGTACTACCAAATTCTCTTATGCCAAAATTCTTACGAAAGATTATATCTTTTGGGGCACACATTATTTAATTTACAATGACTACACAAAATTGAAGGGAAAAAGTATAAAACTTACCTATGCTGAACTCAAAAACGACGACGACAGTAAGAATAGCCCAAACAGAGTATCTACTGAGCTCTTCAACCGGTTCCTTAAAGAAAATTAACAAAGATATGAGCATTAAAGCCAAACCCATCTTTGCTGAGAATACAATCTTTCTCGGGTCGGATCGACCCATCTCCATCGCCTTCACGGCTACGCTGCTCCAATCCTTCCATACCTCTCTAAACTTTTCACGAAAATACGAAAAACACCCTAGATTTTCAGGGTAATCAAGAGTGTGCTTGAAACCAGGTAACTCAGTGTAATCACCGTTGCATGAGGAAAAAGGTCTTTCTCTTTCTCTTTTCTCTTCGAAACTCTTCCTAAACGACCCTAATTTCCTTGCCATTTTCGAATCACTCTTGCTTACGCAGTGTATTTCGATAATATAGGCATAGAAGTGAACAAAACTAACGAGTTGTGCAGAGAATGAAAAAGAATTGTTAGGTGTTGACAGTTTCAAGAGGCCGAAATACATAAGTACCAGCCACACGTATACTCAAATAACTCTTGCAACCTTTTCGTGGACAATAATAATATTACATGCAACCTTTCTAAAGTGTATCGAGTACACATCATTTTTGGTTAGCATATTTACATCCAAAAGAAACGCATGAAATTTGATTTTTTGCTATCAGATTATTTATTAAAGTGCCATGTGTTAAAATTTTATTTAATTTTTTTAATTGGGTCATAACCCCTTCGTCTCCAACCCTGCTTATTGTTTTGTTCCCACAATAAACTCACATTCAAACAGTCTAGTAGATCCAAATAGGAATAAAAGAGTATCAATCTTTGGATTTAACATCTTCACCCGTGTTTTTCTCCAACGCCATGGATTTATCAGCGAAACCCTCTTCTTTTTCGTCTTTTTCTGGTCGGCGATGAAGTTTTGCTCAAAAATCCAACCTGTGAAATAGTTTAGATTCTTCTTCAAGTTGAAAAAGAAAGAATTAATAAAAATGGGTGGGAGTCTATGGATTTTTTCTTGTGGGTTCTCTCTCCCATGGCTGCTAAGGTTTTAGAGGAGGATTCGTTGCATACTCTTGCTATAAATTAACTGATGCAAAATTGAAAACCTATTCCAATATCACCTAAAATAAAATAAAAGAAAATCAGTATTTTCTTAAAGAAAGGGAGAAGCAGAGTGTTTTACGAGGGGATTTTCCGATTAATCGGAGAGAAAAGTATGGTGGATATGCGGAGGGGACAATGGGGTGGAAAAGAGAAGAGACATGTGGTCAGGGGCGGATTTAGGGGGGCGCAAGGGGGTTCACCCGAACCCCCTTCGCCGAAAAAATACACTGTATATATAAGGCAAAATCTGTTTTTTACCTCTATATATTAAGTTTTGAACCCCCTTAACACAATCCAAAAGTGTAGTTTAGTGGTCAAGGAGGTTCAAAATCTATATAAGGTCATGAGTTCAATTCCCACTAGATACAATTTTTTTTTGAACCCCCTTCGTGGAGATCCTGCATGTGGTGAGGGTGGGGGTGTGGGAATTTGTTTATGATTTATTTTTTTTTGTTTACTTGAATATTATCAATTGGGATATAAATATATTTTTTTTCCTTGAGTTATGACACGTGTCGCAATTTAATTAGCGCGTGTGATGCAAGAGAAGAAGTGATCAAACATAAAAGTGGTGTGTCTTAGACACACTTTAAAAAGGTTGAGTGTGTAAGATAATTTTTATCCGTAAAAAGTATGTAACGGGGATTTGGGGACAAGCTAAGGTGGTAATCCATGTATTTCGCCTTTCAAGAGAGTATTACAACGTCGCAAAGGAGATGGTGATTGGTAGAAATCTTATTTAGCCGCGTGGAGATTGGTGGGACCGTCCTTTTCTTTTTCCAACGAATCAGATATGGGCTACTGCTGTGGGGCCCATCTTAAAAACAATATCTAAACATCTCGTTTAAATTAAAAAATAATCGGTAAATATATTATAATTATATTTTATTTATGTACACCAACTAAAAAAAAAAAATAGTACGTCGAATCAGCTGTTTGTGTAAAGATATCAAGTATCTATTCTTGTTTGTCTCCTATGGTCACTTAGAATTTAATAGAATTTTAGATTTACTGAGTGTAATTTTCAGATCTCTTATATAAAATATATGTCTTTGTAAAAAATATAAAACTAAAATTTTTTGTAAAGAATTACAAAATTAATTGATCCTAAAAGATTTATATATTATTGATGTAGTTTACTTATTGTAATAAGGTCATTTATCCATAACCCCATAGAGTAAGGAGTGGATCTGACCCTCGGTTGTTCCCCTTGAATTTTGTTTCCCTATTTTCTCCGCTACATCTTTTTAAGATAAAAGGAAAATTATGTATCGCAAAATTCAAATTCCAATAGGAAAAAACATGTACCATTGTATTTATATTGCTCTCTTCATATGATAACTGACTCAACACTAGTTAAAATTCTTTGTTTGTTTAAAATAGTTTTACGTTTTCAGTAAAATAATATTCGAGAAAAAAGTCATACTACATCAAAGGCAACATATAAATGATATCACTAACATGAATTTCAGTGCTAACAATAATGAATACTCACACCTTATAAATGATTGCTGGGCTATTCCTGTATCATCGCACATCTTTCATGAAAGTAATCAAGTTGGCGCACTTGGCTAAACAAAAAAACATAAGGAGACTACGTACCAACGAGAGTTATGACTTTCTTGTTCTTTTTACCTCTAATTGGTAGAAATGACATAGACAGCGGTTATAAAGGTTGCTACTTAGGAATTAGTCATTGTGTCTTAAATTTTAATTTTTTAGTTAAATTTTTCTGAGAATAAATTTTGTAGTTCAAATTTTCAGGACGAAATAAGTATTGCCAAATCTCTAAATATCAGCTTTAAGAATGGTTGTTCGTGTACTTCCCCTCTTATTGTATCTCAATGCTTAGGGAATTATATTAATTAGTTCCATGAAAAAACTATCAACACGCTCGTGCTTAATGTTTCAATATAATTTCTTTTGGAGCAAAGAAGAAATGAATAGTATAACAGCTGATAAAATCCTAAGCAGTGCAGAAAAAATACTCAATTAATTTTAACTGTGTTTACTATGTCATTATGCAATTGTACTTTGACTAATTGACCACAAAGCATCAATTTGATCACTGATAAGTTATGCTATTTCGTATTTTGATGATTTGCCAAACGTTCTCGAGAAATTAAATGTGGACCAGATGTGATCAGTACATGTAAGGAATCTGGTTCTCCGGGGAAATATCAATTCTAAGTTTGTCATCATAAAAAAGGGGAAAATTGATAAGTTATGCGTATTTTGTTTTGATGATTTGACAAACTTTATGAGAGAACCAGAAACAATTAGTTCCCTTACGTTCAGATTAACTAGTCAGATGTCTGGTTCAATTCTTAATGAAATCAGATAAGAGAACAACAGAAGGAACAAATAGGGATCAGTTCCTCTAGTCGTTGTATAGTCAACTCTAAAGCTGTAAAAGTTGTTGCACTGTACCGTCTGGCAGCAGCACAACCGTAGTTTGCTAAGACTAAACTAGTAGCTTGCTAAGACTAAACTAAAGGACACTCTGTTGTATCATCTTTCATGATCTCATACATATATTATCAACATGATGCAAGGAGTTTTACTCAACACTTGCAAATCCAAATATTCTCTAATTGCTAGTTACCACTTCTCTCAAGAACAAAGCTGCTACAACTTCAAGGATTAGATTCAGATAACAAAGATATCTTAAGTCCTTATGTTTATTAAGTCTTTGTCATATTGATGTTCATGTGTAATCCTATACTACTTTCAAGAAGTGTCTTTGTATGACAGATTTCAACCATTGTTTGGTTTGGTTTCTTCACTAGAGTTAGTCAGTGTTTGTTGCTTTGTAATTATTATAAAGAACTTGCAATAGAGTTATTGTAAGGGGTAAGTAATTAAGAGTTTAATTCCTAGATTGCAATAGGTTGTAATCTAAAGTTTGCTCGATTTAGTGGAGTTGAAATCCTACTAGGATCGATCGTGATTTTTAATCTCTTGAGCAAGGAGTTTTCCACGTAAATATTGCGTGTTCTTTATTTACTGCATATTTACTGTGAGAACAAATAGAGAACCTGGTTCCCTATATTGTTTGATTTTACTTTACTTTATTTACTCTGGGAACAGAGAGAACCTAGTTCTCTATATTGTTTGATGGACTCCTAATTTCTATCGATCACTTAAATCACCTTACTATGTAGAAAATAGTGGTGCCAAGTAACAAATTACTTTAGTGTGATAGTATCACCAAATTTCATAGATATTTATCCAAGACACATTTCAGTTGAATTTCAGAACAAGTTAATAGACAATTCGCACCATTTCTTTCTTCTTTTTTCAATATAATGTTTCATACTTGGCCTTTGGAGCATGTTGACAGCCAGTTGCAAGATGTTTGTTTGTTTTTACTTGGCCTCACTTAGGTTTATAATTTTCTTTATATTTATTACTTCTTCTGTTTTAATTTATGTGGTAAAACTATGTTGTAGGAGTGACGTATTTTATTATGATGGACTCTTGTCCAATACTTATAACATTTGAAAGCTCCTTATATGAGTATACTTTAATTGAAGCAGATGAAAGGTCCAAATTTTACTTCTTTCGTATTATTGAAAATTTCATTTTTAATATATGGAAAAAATAGATAGATCACCTTTAATCCCGCAAGTTCAATGATGACGTGCAAATACACCAAAACCTCTGAGAACACTCCTAAGTCTTAATGAAACAAAGAAGCACATCGACTTTGATTTTTTTGCGTATAACTTTTTTGTATCATCGGATTAAGATGACCGATAACAACTCTATTCGATAATCTATACTATATTAAAAGCATGAAGGCTTTTAGTGAAATGTCGTTCGCCTTTTTTACCCTTCTTAAATAAATTTAAGTTGGATAAAATTGTAAATACAAATATAATTCTTCGTTGGAGAAAAAAAACCGTAAGCTAAAAAGGAAAAGAAAGGATATAACTAGGAAACTCCTTCTTTAATTAATATCCGTAACAAAGAATATTTAAAATTTAAACAAGAAAAATAAAATTGTCGTATGATAATAAAAGGGGAAAAGAATATTCGTAATAAAGGATGATTCAATTATAGCTTGCTAGAAAAGTCAAATTTGTTAAAGTTAAAACGGGAAAAGAATAAGGGATTCAGTAGGGAGCTTATTATTCTTTGTAAATGAAATTCGATTACTATTCCAATTTTTTATTCTACATTTTTTTAGTTTTCTATTCTTTATCACAATCTATTAATAATGTCAGATCTACCAAGATAAACTTGTCTTTGATTTGAGGTAAACTTTCTAACCTTTAGGGTATTATTGAAATTATGATAATATATGATCTTGAAGTTTTGTATTAACAAAAGTTCTTGTGATTTTTTAGATAAGTATACAGTTATCTGTGTCAATCAGCATGTCTATTTTTGTGAACATGTAATTTGTTATTTATGTGAGTAGGAAGCATAATTTCCGAGCTAGCATTGTTTATAAAATTTGATTATAAATTCTATTAGCTTCTCTATTTTCTATAAAAAGATCCATGTTCTCAAGCTTCGTTTTTTTTTTCTTAAGTCCTTATCCTAAAGTATAATTTCTCTATTTTACTAATAAAATCTTAGCGTCTTTTGTACTATCTATGTATAGGATCTATGTTGCGTAAATATTATGCTTTTAAAATTATAATCACTACTAATTGTAATGTCAGCACAAATTGCTCATTGAGGAACAAACATTGACAGTTAGCAACTTACCATCATTGTAGCCAACCAGAATTTTGATACTTTCATCGATCAGGTACGTTGTTCTGCTTATTTCTTATAGTATACTCCGTATTTATTATATTTTTATTCTTCATCATAAATATTTTAGTGAGTATTTAATTTCAAGTTATAAGATATGGTGCCTAATTTTTCTGTTTGATTTTATCTTTTTTTCCTATGAGTTTTAAGTTCTTACGGAAATAGGGAGCACATCAAGTTAGGAATATTGTATAACATGCATTTTGTCTAGATTATGAGTATGAATTTTTATTTAAATGGATTTCAAATATGTTAATAAGTATATTTCTTAGCTTTTGTGCGTACAAAGGACTAACATCTGCAAAATTTTGAAATACCAACTTAGCTATTCCCGTACTTAATTGTACAATAAAGTAAGTACGGGAACAAACTGGAGAAAGAACTACTAAGGTGGATCTAAACTCCTAAATATGATTAACATTTAGCATTTTTAAAAATTTATAATTTTGATTATTTTTTATTTATGACATAAACATATTTAAAAATATGCTATTTAGGTTGTTTTTTAAAAAGTTTATTCTCATAAATATGAGGTACACGCTTAGCAAAATATAGTTCGTTTTTTTTACTCCTCAAAATAAAGTTCACACAGGGCATAATATATATTTGGTTATTTTTCTAATATTTGAGAATAATTATTTTTATTTTTTTTGCTATTTTTTTCTGCATATTATATCTTTTCTTACTTGAAGTAGAAAAATAGCAACAGTTTTAACCGACTAAACCTTTCTTAATATTTATGTGATCTTTAAATACGATACAAATTCCCAGTCAACAAAGATCTTAGAGTTATTCTATAATTCTATTAGTATTTCACTCCAGTTCAAATATGTCTCTGATCTCCCACCTTCAGGAAAATAGTCCTAATTCAGTTTTAATTCACTAAAAACTTCATATTCCAAAAGGAAAATATTAAATCTAGGTGGAAAAATATTAGAATGTAAATTAATCTTTTTTAAACCAACATATTAAAAATACTAGACATTAACCATAAGATTAGGTGTCTTTTAAAAGCTTAAAATTAGAATTTATTTTTGATATCACCAACTACTTATTTTACTTAAATTTACTTTGTATAATTTATCTCATACTATAATCTTTGAATATTACACCTCAATAATTTCAACAAGTAACTATAAAAACATAAGAGAGAGAGAGGTGTTTGGTTGTTGGCAATAGTAAAAAAAAAACACGAATAGCTTTATTAATACAATATCCAAACTTAAATTTTACATTGATTTTTAGGCTTGAAAAATATAACTATAGTCAAATATTTAAAACTTGCAATGAGTTAATATTACTAATTTCAATCAACAAAAATTGAATCGTTTCTTTTAATAAGAATAAATTTCTTTTTCGACATCATATAAGTAAACCCTTTTTCGACAAGACTTTTAGATACAAAAATTAGATTTTTTTTTTATAGGAATAGCATTTGTGGTGGAAAAAATAAAAAATAATGCAAATTCGATTATAATATAGTAATAAGCATTAACTGCAAAATACTATAAAATTCTTGAATAAATTCATACATATAATTTCATATATGGAAAATTAAAATAAAAAAAGAATATATTAATTAAAATGTAGCGGTTGAATTCACTTTCTGTGATAGTAATTTATTTTTTTAATCAGTTGGAAATAGTTCCTATAGTATTTCTTATATATTAAAGAAATAGAACAAATTGCATTTTGCTCGAGAGCAAAAAAAGAAGAAGACGTTTTCTGCCAATTCAATGAGATGGTTAAGAACTTATATAGGGCAAAGTTTTATTTTCTTTGACCTAGCTAAATAGGATCAATAATTATCACTTTTAGAAACTTACAATTTTGAACTTTAACTTTATTTTATAACTCAATCATAATAATATAACATTTATGTAATTCTTTGAAATATTACTTATAGAGATATGGTAACACGCGCAACGCGCGTACTCTAAGACTAGTATATAAAATAAAGCAAATGCCTATTATAACAAGTTAAAATAAATTGGTATTATAAAAATTAAATACACTATCAATACATACAAGTTAAATCCACAATATAAATCAATAATTAGACAAAACGGAAAGATCTAAACCCAATGGGACTAGGCATTAATTAACAGAAATAAACAATAAAAGTGATTACAATTATGTTCTGATTAGCTGATAACTTGAAAGTACATGTGTGGTTGTGAATCTTGTGTTGTTACATATGTTTCTGCTTCAGTTTGGTTGTTGCATGAGCTTATTAAGGGAATTTGTTCTTCTTGTTTTTCGTCACTGCCACTTAAATCTTGTATCTCCAATATTTCAACCCTCCGATTTGTTTTCTTCCTTATTTTGATGGCTACATCTTGTGGTACAAAATTCCCACAAACAATTACTCTGCTATGATTTTTCTCTATGAATCTTGTCTCCAGCTCTACATCAATCCCCAATATATAATAGTGACGTTAATTCAGAATCTTTCTAATTATAAGTTTGATCAAATTAAGCTAGCGTTTGGACATAAATTTGGTTGAAAATTAAAAAAAATTTAAATTTATGTTGAAAAATAATTTTTGGAGATTAGAAGTTGTGTTTGGACATGCATCTTATTTTTTAAAAATGTTGAAGTTTTGTGAGCAAAAAGAAAAAAATCACCCAAAAATCGGCCCAAACCGATTTTTGGAACTTGAATATTTTTCTTTAAAATTTTTTTCAAAAGTAATTAAATTTCATAAACAAACAACGTTTTCAATTTATTTATTTTTTTGGAAAAAATTGTCAAAATTTATATCCAAACGGGAGCTAAGATTAAGGTAGCAGCTTTTAAGAATCTAATTAAGAAGCATAATTTACCTGGTATTGTTAGAAGTGCTCGACTTACTTTCATGTAACATCCTTTGCAGTCTATGTTAATCCTCATCACCATGCAAAACAACTGCATTCTTGAACATTCATTAGGCAGTGAAAACTTGCAATCAAAAATAAAAATAAAAATAAATAAAGGACAGGAGGCGGATGCAACCTCTGTTACTGAACGTAATATTTTGGACACCGAATATAAGTATATATGTGAAAAATTACTGAAATTTCAACAAATATTAAATTTTGAACCTATAGAAATACAATGAGTTCAGTACTAAAAAAATTAAAGATTAAACTTATCGAGAACCCTGGTGTATCACAATTAGAAAAAGAATTGTTACCTTCTGAGTCATGAAGAAGGACAATGTTCTGTTTCAGGTTGAGAAGGAGATGATGGAGTAGCAAGATTTGGAAAGATTATGGATTGTTTCATTTCTTTTTCAAGTCTTATTGATTGATTGGAATCTGATTCCTGCCTAATTAGCATTTGCACATGAGATTGTTAGTATCTTCATTATTCTTGACCTCTCCAATTTTTTTTATATAACATGCCTCGTGGGAAAAGCATCACTTTCTTGTTCTAAAAAGGCCTATGTTTGATATTAAAGGCATCTCTTTTTGTTGTCTAAATATTCCTATTCTATAGTTGAAACTCTTCCCATACCACACTTTACCTTTCTTCTCAAGAATCTACGTTTTGTTACCTTTTATTATTTCCTTAGCTTTTGGCAAATTAGCATAAACAGTGACTTGGAACAAGTGAATCTATTCTTGATATTTTTACATTATCTGAACTTTTTAAGTATTGGAATATCTTAGATTGGTGCAATCCACCTCATACTTGAAGTTTTCTCTTGAAACTGATTTCTTTCTCGAATAGACTTTCTTTGTCGAGGAATAATATGGGAAAAGCAAGCAGCTGTAATTATAAAACTCAGTCAAACCAACCAGCGGATTAGTTTCATGGAAGGTTATATTCAATATTTTGTTTACAACATCAAAATCAAAAACTTGATTTTTGTAACCGGAACATAACTATGTGTATGTCACAGAAAACAAAGCTACGACAGAAAATATCAAATCTGAGATGCACATTTATGATCGACATAATTTGAAAAAAGGTTACAAAACTTTGCGAAATAATTTTGTTTCTTCAAATGGTTGGATGCTAACATTCGAACATTGGCAAATGATACAATCTCCGTGCCAAAATTTTAAAGCATGCTGGCCAAGATTTTACTTAACAATAGTTATGGTGTTTTTTAGCATTCTGACACAAATCTTGACGTATCACCAGAATTTTTCAGCTCATTAGAATTCATGTTGCTTCAAAATTCTGGCATTTAAGGAAAATCTTACCCAGTGTACTTTAAAATTCTGGCGCGGCGCTATTTCCCGAAATATTTCTTAATGGGAACAAAATATAAAAGGTGATTTAAAAAAGGTTCATCCACCGTAATGTGAACCGACTTTCCTTCCCAACTCACAGACTTGCGTACTCTCACTATAACTAAACACAATTTTCGAACTTTCCATCTATGTGATCTTCTTATTTTTGAATAACAGCTTTATCAGAATCATTGAATCATATAACAAATATACTGCAGAAGTCCCAATGCAATACTTTCTGCAAAGGCTTCTTTCTTTTATTGTATTCTGCCCATGAAAGAAACTCATTTAAACCCGTAAATAACAGGCAGAGAGCTGCGTTTTTTAATTTTTCGTTTGAGGTCTCTCCCTTTTCCCCAAAAAAGGGCAATTTTTTTTTTTTTTTTTTTTATAAAAGTACCTCGTATATTTTTTATGCGATGTTTAAATTATTTTCACATCAGCATCTTGCGGCAAAATTCACTTGCTCTAGAGGCTGGATTGGGAACATAAAGCTAACTAGGATTAGAGTTCCTACCAAAGAAAACTAACACATTCTACTAGGAGTAACATAACCGTCTTTGTTATAGTACAAAGAGATCCAAGGTTATACATGGCGTTAATTAGGAGGGAATTTGAGTTATCATTATTGTAATAATCAATAATTGTTCTGTTGTCTTGAGGTGCAATGTATCGCCCACTCTTTTTCAATAATGAATGAACCCAATTGCTAATTATGAAAAAATAGTGTGTACTAATGATATATGCCACTATTTGGTTCTTAATGATGGTTTCTCAAATTGATGTTAAAAGAGACTAGTCTTTATCCTCTTTGTACCTTTACAACAATGAACAGTTTGTGTGAATATTGTCCTTCATCTTCAAGCTGCCTTTTTTTGTTCCTTTCTCAATGAAGATAATAATAACTAAAATAATGACTCATTTTCTGAATGATAAAAGCGTGGAACATTTTTATCATAACATTCGGCTCTTTGACAGGGGAGAAATTAATAATAAAATTTGTGTGAAATGTATTGGTAGTATGGTATTTCCACACACTATGCATGCTGCAGGTCACACTAAATTGATTCACTTTCTACATATAAGAGTCCATACAGTAAACATCCTCATGATTTTTCCTACCAGTAAAAAACCAAGTTCAGTTACTTATCCTAATTTCTTCAGTAAAGAAACAGAATACTAAAGGGTTCAGAACATGGCTTTTTCCAATTCCCTGATTTTTGTTCTTATTTTCCCCCTTGTTTTTGTTCTTGTACCTACCACCTTTTCACAAACCTTTGGCAACTTACCTGCGGGCCCCACCGTGTCATCGTGTGGGCCACTCCTGTTACAATTGGCTCCGTGTGGACCGTTCGTGCAAGGCGCGTCGCCCTCACCGGTTGAACAGTGTTGCAGTAACCTCAGGCAACTCTATAACCAGCAACCAGGTTGTCTTTGCCTCTTGCTCAATCAAACTAGCCTCAGCTCTCTTCCTATCAACACCACATTAGCACTTGAGTTGCCACTTCTTTGTAGCATGCATGTTGACAGCTCAACCTGTTTGGGTATGTAACAATAGAGATCAATGTAAGGAAAAATTATCCCTTCTTTAAAGTTTAATACATTATTGATTCATCCCATTTCTGTACTGTCAGTTTCTGAAGGATTGGCTCCTAATGCACCAACACCTCAAGTTTCCTTTGGGACAAAAAGCAATTCAACTGTTGCCGGTATGAAGTTTTGTAGAAATCCACATTCTCAACAGTTTTAAAAATCGATGTTGCTATGATCTGTTTAATGTTTTTGCCTTTCTTGTCTTGCATTTCAGCTTCGCCGATGCAGACAGTAGCACCTAAGACAACCAGCATTTTGGGATTTGGCTTTCACAACAGCTCTGCTTCTGCTGTAAACTTCAATGCGAAGGAGAGTTTGATGATCACAATGCTAACTTCTTGGGGTGCATTATTCTGGCTCTAACCGTTTCTATATTGTTGTGTCACGTCATTATTTGACTAAAAGTTAAGCTCAGACAAATGCATGTAGTTTACTGTTCTAACAAAGAAATTTTGAGATTTAAGACACTACAATCAATACAAGAAGTAGTAGAACTTGGGAAAAATGATGAATTAGGACTAAAAACTAAGAATTTTGCATACAGTAGACATGATATGTAGCAAGTAGAATGTGCTTCAGGCACACTTATTGTAACAGAAATGTTGTTCTATTATTGATTAGTTTGTCCACTCATTTTAAACTAGTTATTCCCCTCACCTTATTTCCAGAATCATATGCCGATTTTATAGCAGATTTTTATGCTCATATGCTAATTTACTACTAGCATATCGTTATGTCCTATACCAATGATTATGCCCAATAACACCTATGGACAAATATTCTACAAGTATTGGTGCCATATTCCCTCGAAGTAGCCTAGAAAAGTTCAGCATCTATTTATGATTTATCACATCAAAGAACAGGAAATTTTCCTCTTAGCCTTTCATTAGTGTAGCCAAATATTCAAATCTTTTTGCTGTAGCAAAATCTATCACTTTCCTTCATCAATCTCCTACAGCAAAAAATGAACAGCTAAGCCATGAGTCTGTTGAGGACTAGACTCACAGGCTCCAGCTGTTAAAAATTCACTTATCAAACTAAAAGCAAAATTTGTTTCGAAATCATCCAATGATTTATATTCTTTCAGCATGAAAGCTACAGTTTCCCATCTGGCAATAAAAGGTGTATCAAGCCCTATTCTCTTTCCACAATAGGCCACAATTTGCAGTGATGTACAAGATTCAATTTACTCATATGCTAGAAGTCTCAAAGATAGTAATATCAAATATGCTCAAATTTGAAGGAAAAAAAAAGGAACTGGACAACAACCATTTTGTGATCATACTTTTGATTCCTAATTCAAAAACGAATATCTGAATTCCTTACTTTCTCTGCTATCAATTGTATCGACACATGAATAGAAAGTCTAGAGGACAATTTAGTACTAGGAGCAAACTCAGTTCTACATTGAGGATTCTGTTATGGTCCATTGTAAGGCAAGTCCCACATCAGTCTTGTAGGTTTATATAGCCTTGGGCTCTGGGTTGTATCAGATTCTTGGCTGGAATATCTGTCGCACGTAGATATCACAATATGAAGAGTGAGAATCCTTCATTAGAAGTGAACTTATCTATTCCAAACTAGGTTCCTATTCTGTGTGATTTGACTAAAAAAACGTCTAAGTTAGACCCCTCCAGTTCTTCTAGTGATTGAATTGATTCCTTGTGCGGAGGAGTATCCTGGTACACAACGTCTCATGCAATTACTGTAGATAAAAGATGTCAAAATTAAACAGTTAAGAACCCTCTAAAGGAAATTTGAGAGATAAGATTAGAAGAAAGGAAAAGATGCACTAACATAGAACAAACTACAGTATTCTTGTGTACAAAAGTTAGGGAAATCAAACATGGTCGTGAGTTTACGTTTGAGAAATAAGAAATTCACTTTGAAGTCTGCAATTATTTGAATTGGTAGCTGGAAACCATCTATCAGTACAGCATGAGAACATTCTAGCGATGGTATGGTCGTGAATGCACTTGATATGCCTCAAAAACCAAAATAGAGCTACAACAGTAAATCTCAGAGTCCATTACTCAGATGGTCACTCAACTATTTGAAATTATCTATCAGAATCATCTTTCTTTCGTTTGTAACAACAAAGTCACTTAACTATGCCAATAGCACTCAGAAGGTCACTCAACTAGATTTCTCAAATTTTTGATCGGCAAATACCTTTTTACCCTCTAAATTATCAATTTTTATCTTCTTTTTATTTTTAGCTTTTTAATATAATAATTTATTTTTATCTTTTTAATTTATATTATGGACTTACCTTAGAATAAATAAATTTTATTTATAATTAAAAAATTTAAAATAGTATTTAAGCATATACAATGTTGGTATAATAAAATATTGAGCATTAGAAAGTTAATTAGAATAATTTGTTCGTAATAATAGTTTTGATATCAATAAAAAAACTCAAAAAATTATTTACATAAAGAATGAAAGAAAATAAAGTTTTAAAATATATATTCCATGCACGTACTATAGAAAATAATTATTTAAAATAAAAATATTTTTGTAACATACATTATATATTCTTGAATATTATGCTCAATTATATTATTATTTTGACATTAGAATGCTACAAAAATATATTTTTTTATTTTTTATTTTTAAATAATATATTTTTGTTCTATAGGTAAGTCCATAATGTTGATTAAAAAGAGGAAAAAAAAAAAAGCCAAAAAAAAACATAAGATAAAAGTTGATAATTTAGAGGGTAAAATAGGTATTTGGCGATCAAAAGTTTGATAAATTTTGTTGAGCGACCTTCTGGGTGCTATAGGCATAGTTAAGTGACTTTGCTGTTACAAACGAAAGAAAAATAATTTTGATAGATAATTTCGAAAGGTTAAGTGACCATATGAGTAATGGACTCTAAATCTCAAGATAATCAACATATGCCCCGGTACTTTCAGGACATAACATAATCATCTAGTCAATAGTTTTGCAATGTTCATAATGTTGTCACGCCATAAGATCTGACAAACCAAGGTAACTCTAATCAAGTGACCAAGATTCTAAGGTTACTGATAAACAACCGCGTTGGCGTCCCTTATCCTAAACATATTAGTATTAGACGAAAAACAAAATCTAGGCATTTCATCAACTCTGTTGCATCATGAGCTAACAGACATCCTACTATCCTTAAATACTACTCGTCGATATATATAATGTTCCAAACACTCCTCATTAACAACGCCATAACAAAATCTGCTACAATCAACTCAACTCTGAATACAAATCTAGAATCACCGGGACACCACCGCTGTCTTTCCCTTTTTGGACAATTATTGCCATTTAAGAACGTGGAACTAATATGGTCAAATATATATAACATGCTATACAATATAAGCTAACTAGTTACATCTAAACTTTTGAGTATTTTAAAATTGTATTGCTTCTGAAAAGTTATACAGTTACGCTGATGCTGTTTTAACAGCTTCTATTTCATGCTTAACTATGATAGGCAAGTTTTGCCTGCAATTATTTCAGTTCATTCATATCAATCAATGATGTCACAGATATGTAAGAGTTAAGATAACGTGAACGATCTAAACATATGTCACACACAACATGGAAAGCATTCTTTATGTGTCTAATATAAAACTCCAACCTAACTTGCTACCGTTGTTGTCACGGAGGCATTTTTGTTCCGTCCAAAGTTACACCCGCACGGCAGTCAAGTTGCACACTTGACTCAGCCTTTCCCAACACTTAGCCAAATTTTCAGCAAGTTTGGCCTTAACGAATTTTTTGCAACAAATCTAAAAGAACACAAGCCAATACAGGAAAATCCCAACCCTTGTATTAATTTCGAAAATACACAAAGGAACCCTCACCTTGCTACGAACACAAGTCGTTCACAACCCACTTTTGACAAAGAACACAAGTCGTTCTTGGCCAACACTAAGACCTGCCCAAGTATAGCCTTACTCCCTTTTGAAACACTTTGAAACCCTCACGTTTCACTCTTGTTTCCCACTTAGAATTTCACACGAAATTGCACACTTAAAATCTGACTAAGTCCAAATGCCCTATTTATAAAACATAGGCAGTCTTTAGGACTTGATAGCACATTGATATTTGTTGTCTACAGCTTTTGCCACTTGTCGGGCTAAGACTAAATCAGTTCCTAACTTGTAGTTGACATCCCCAACTATTTAGGCCATGTTATGCACGAAATTATAATGGATACAAGCATAAATCAGTCATGGGTACAAGAGGTTATGAAAAGGTAACCGCCAAACTGCTTTGGCATATGCCTTGCATGTGCCGTTTTGACTTGGCCAGCTGATTCACGCCCGAGGTTGGCATTGCGCCCAACCTTGGCTCATTTTGACATTGCTCCGCACCAATGCCTTGCCCGCAATCCGCCGCCCATGATTTTGCCGCACACGCCCGACGCCACTGCCGCTCGCACATTGCCTTGGCCGAGTTTCTGCATTGCCCATGTCAACCTTTGTTTCCCTCGTGCCATTGCTTGTATTTTCCTTCACATAGACTTGCCTTAGCTATTGAAAGCCTTTGCCATCATTCTGCACTGCCGCTGTTAGCACGTGATTTTTGCCTCGCGAAAACTACTCCAAAATAAATCAAAAAATAAAATTAATTTCTTTTAGTGTGCAATTTTAGAAAATTATTTTGCGTTTATTAATTGTTTGTGTTTTATCCGTAAATGTTTGCTTTGTTACAATTAAACAAAAAATTAAAATAAAAATACATGTTTCATGCGTAGCTAGGATTTAATTATGCATTTAATAATTGAGTCAATTTAAAATAAAATCACAAAAAAATATGCATTTGTTCTGTTTTTAATGTTTCACTGGGTGATTAATTTTTATCTGTGTTAATGGTTATTAAAAGGTAATTAGTATTTTTGTAATGATAATTTTTGTTTTTATAATTTTTGATTAGGATTTTAAAAATTAAAAATAAAATTAGGAAATAGAAAATAAGCTTTAATTATTATAATTGGACCTGGATTGAAATCCAGACCCAAATAAAACAATTTTTCCCTTCAGCCCAATCCAGGCAACCGGTCCAATTCAAAGCCAAGACCAAACGACGACGTTTGGTCACATTTTATCAAGGACCGTTGGATCAAAGCCAACCAACGGCTGAGATCCCACGAACCTAACCCGTAATCATTACCCGATCCGATACCCGGTTCAACCCGTCCCCCCAACTTAAACCAAACGACATCGTTTGGTTAAGTGGATAAATCCTGGCCTTTCATTCTACTAGATCTAATGGTCAGCATCAACCCACCCCGTCCCTATATAAGTCCAAACCCCTACCCCGGCCCCCTAACTTAACACCCCACCTCTCCACTGTTCATCATCGTCTTCCTCAAACACACCCCTAACCCTAGCCGCCCTAGCATCCCACCGCCTGAAACCCGGCGGCAACAACGCCGCCG